TTCGCTGTTTTGCAGTTTCTTTTCAGACTGAGTAGCATAAATGTACAACTAATTTTAAATTAGCGTTTAATTTTATAGGTTAATATAAAGTGTTTTGTTCATTTATGTGTTTTAAACGCTGTTTTGTGCATATACTATGTATGTACATATGTACATATACATATATGGATGTATACGTGGTGGAAAGTGGAATTATATTTATATTTTTGTGTTTGTATATAATATATGTATATAACATATATATTTTTCTTGATTATATTCGTTTTTACAGCAAAAATATAGACAGTTTATTTTAACAGCATTTTCAAATATATTTAAATTATAAATTATTTCTAAAATGTAAATGAATGTATGATATTATGAAAATTTTTTAGCATATTTTTATGCACAATTCTTTTTATGTGATGGAAAACCGAACAAATATTTTTATATTTAAATTAAAATACGGTTATTTTTGTTTGAATCTTAATAAGAGAAACTTTTGAGTCTCATATTTAATTCTTATAATACATCTCTTAATTCTTACATACATTTTTGAGCAACTTAAACGAAACCCTACAATTTTGTGCATTTTATAAATTATAAAAAACGAACCAAACTCATTAATAGAACCGTTTTAAATGTGCGAGGGATATGATATGAACCCCAACGGACCGTAATTGAACTTAACGGGACTATTTATCACAAAAGAAGTTCACTCATTCAATCAGAACGTGCAAAATTTCCATATTTGTTCGATATTGCACACTGGCTACACATAACGGGATAAATTATTGAAAACGGGTTTTTTTTACTTGATCCCTCGCCGTGTAGCAGATTCAAGCACCACAATGATTCTGTGAAATAATAAATTTTGATTTAAGACAATTGGAAGCGTATATTAAATCGCTGGCCGAAACTTCGAAAGGAAAATAACCTAATTTTACAGATATTCTCGATTTCTAATATATAAGGTTTTTATGTTTATCTAACGCACAAAATTAGTGGGTTTATTCAGTTGAGACAGCGCGTTCTAACCAAATTTTTATTTAAGATCAAAAATGAATTATGAATTATTTACTTTTTTACTAAATTAAAGCGAAAAAAATAATTATTTAATGTTTATATAATATTTACAATTTTAGTTTATTGAATAAACGGAACAAAAGTAGACACGAGCCACTATTAGTATACATAGGCCTTACTGTAATAATCACTTTAATTTATAACCTGCAAATTTTTGTTCTCAATTTAAGTAAGCCACTGTACAATGGGTAGTAAAGATAAAATAAAAAATATTGATTTTAATTTTAATAGTTATTGCAAGATATTGTAACCAAACAGCAAAACACAAAGACGCGTATAAAATTGTAAAATCACCTAAACAATTCAATGCACCGAATGTTGTAATTACTTGAAGAGAAAAAATAAACCAACAAATTAATAAACAATATTATCCAACATTTTAGAAATGAAATATAAACTAGTATTAAGAACTAGCAGTGGAATGTTAAGTATTAATGAAAAAAAAAAAAAAAAACATAAACCGAACGATATTTGTCCGTCATAGCCGACGTTGCGGGAAAGAAATGTATGAATTGTAGTTACTATAATGAATGCCTAGAATTATACATAAATTTGTAGCGAATGTGGTTATTGAATAGTTAATTTAAACTGATGTAGCATAAAAGACATTGTACTCTTATTATTAAGTAAAATAAATTATATTTCGCATGTGTAAGATTTGTGAAGAGGAATGCATTGATAAGTTGGTATTGTATTGCAATAAAAACTCACGGAGAATATATGTATGTGTATTTCCAAAATATATTTAAAAAAAATGTAAAATTTTTGGTAGATTTCATATCTGATGAACGACAGATAAGGGCTGGTGTACCACCTGTCTCTTATACACATCTAGATGTGTATAAGAGACAGGATTAAAAGTTTTTTTTTTTTTTTTTTTTTTGTTTAACCGGGTTGGAACTACATTTATATCGGCCACGAAGTATCGATAGCATCACTAAAGAAAAAAATGTTTGAAGAATGTTACCATAATATTTTTAACGATGCTATAATAATTTATGTAATGCTTTGCTCAGCGTTTCTCGACAGACGAATGACATGCAATATGCACAGTGAATACGAATAAGTCCTGTCCTGGATTTATCAACTATGACAGATTTGCCTCATCATTTGAGCACATTGGATAGCAAACTATTTCATTTCAGCTTTTTCGAACAACTTATTGCTTTTATTCAGTTTTTACTCTGGTGTTTGTGTCATTTACGTAACTAAGTATATAACCAAGACGTACTAGGAAAGTTTAGCCGGAAGTCTCGTCTCTACCGCACCTTTATTCATCATCATATCAATACACACAATAATTTTATATAGTATCTATATCTATCTATATCTGAATACACACAAAACAAATTTCAAATAAAAATCTATTCAAGAATGTGTATTTAAACTTAAAGTCATATTTACATATATGATGATATAGAAAATTAAAAAATATGCTTATATTTACACTTATATAAACTTAAATTCAACCTTATAATACACATATTCATGTCAGCGACTAATCGGTCATCACTTCATACATATTCGGCCCCTTCTTCAGCAGGTAACCCTGCAGGTTCACCATTTCCACCAAATTGCTAACGCCACACGAGATGCCGGCTCGGCCCGCCATATCCTTAATTTCGTCGTAATCGAATATTCGTCTGCCCAATGCACTGGAGCGCAACTGCAGCATTTGTATGAATTTCTTCACCGTACCCCGTTGACTGGTGGGCGCGGTAGCCGTGGCTGGGTTCCTATCGACATAATCGCTTAGCGCAGTATCCTCTAGACTGTGCCGTACGATGCAAAGAACGTCACGTACGTGAAGCCTCGTAACTTCTTCTGAGAAATCGACACGTGCGCGCGCTTGTGAGAGACGAATAAGACCCTCAAGGTGGCTGAAAAAATATAGTAGTTGTAAAAGTTATATATTTAGCGCTATGGACATTTCTATAGTAATGACAAAACGAAACTGAAACTAGTTTGACTAACTGTCTAGGATGCTGAATTAGTAATTCTTGCAGACCTGCTTATCTTTTCCGACGTGCAGTTAAGATTGTTTTCAATGAAATTCATTTTTTATCCTCACCTTGCGAAAGCGAAACTTTTAAAAGACGTGACTCAATCTATTATGTAACAATCATGTTTCAGTCATCAACAGTTATTTTTTTGATAATTTGACTATGCAAAATATCAACAGAAAAGTTCAAGGCAATTTAATTGAATATTTTACAAATTTGCTTCTTGAGAAAATGCTAATTCCCCATAACAAAATAGTTAAAACAATAACAATGAAAATTAGCGAATACGAGTTCAAACGAGAGCCGAAATTTGCATGCGTAAAATATGAATAACTGTGCATTGGGTATGTATCAGTATTTTAATTATTGTTTAATAATGAAATAATGTATTGGAACCCTCTTTACAATCTTTCTTCATCAGAAACATTTCAGTTTACAAAACTTAATTCTTAAACGCACCAGTAGGATATTAAAAGAAATTCACCGAAGGCACCAAGTGGCTTCCCGATCTGTGCTGATGAAGGCAGTATGTATTTGAGAGTTCGCATTGTCGTGTTGAAGAGTTATCCCTCTTTGAAAGTTTGTTTGCCCGATTTCTTGATAGACAACTGACAAACAAATGTTTTTGTAGCACTCACAATTTACTGTTCGGCGCTGTTTTAGTGGTATGGCTGAGATATGTCAAATTGTTTAAAAAAACACAATTATTTGCTTGGATTCGTCAGATTCGTCTCATCTGGAAACAACTGTACAGACGACTGATCTTTGCTTTCGGGCGCATACGCGTCAAACCGCTCTAACAATTTCATTGACGTATTTCGAAGCACCGCTATTATATATATATATATATATTTTTTTTTTTTTTTTTTTTTTTTTTTTTTTTTTTTTTTTTTTTTTTTTTTTTTTGTTTTACAGTTATGCAATATTGAATGTATGCTGGCCCTGGTTAATGCCTATATTTGCGGCTATCTCACAATAGGTCACATAACAATCTGATAATATTGGTTGTGAATCAATGGTTACCGGAACAACTGAATTTGGACGATCTTCACGCAGTCCGTCTTGGAGTGATCTACGACCTCGATTGAATTCATCATACCAGCGATAAACACTGTTTTATATTAACTCTGAATTGAGGATCTGTTTTGCAAGCGAAAATAAATTAACATGGTTCTCTTTCTACTAGCACAAAATCTGATATGAGCTACGTAATGCGTTTCTAAAAATTGATTGTTCTTTTTTTGCCTTATTAATTTCTACAACACCTCTAGAAAATTTGTATAATATGTATTTATAAGTTGATCCGAGTAGTTGTTTCGGAGATACAGCCTTGAGAGATTTATAAAAAACGCTGAATTGGTCGAAAGAGACCGGCATAGTAGAAGCCGTAGCATCGGTCAAGAGCTGGGCATGAGTTGAAAATTTTATGAACAATTGAAAATTCAATAAAAATACCGCAAGACTTTTTTGACAAACTAATATAAAGAGACAGCTAAGTCTTTATCCAAAAAAGTCGCGAATTTAAAAAATGGTTGTGTCAAAAACAGAACTACCATAGACCTACATTCATATGTATATAAGCCGCTTACTTTTGGGTTTTCATATTAAGATTTGGGGATATACAAATTTGCATTGATTAGCACTAGAAGAACGAAACGCGCCTATTTTTTGTTCTGGTTTTCATAAAAGCCTCACGCATGATAATTAACCGCTATTACCACAAATCAGCTTGTTGCGAACCGCATCAACACATCAACAACAGAAGACATAAACAGCAGCGGCGTGTAATATTTTCGCCAACAATAACAACTGGTTCGATGCTCTTAAATGCGTGTGTATGTATGTCTGTAAGAATAACATGGCTAGAAGCGACAGAATGCAACCAACCCCAGCTAGACGAAAGTTGTCGACCAATCTCGTGTGCTCATTCCTTTTGTAACAGCCGAAGCACGCGGACGCCCTTCCCTGACTTTTAAACAAAACTGCTAGAATTTAGTCGGTTCATTTATTGTGAAAGTAAAAGGAAGTCTCGAGATGTGGGGGTGCAAATAATGGAAATATGAAGAACAAAAAGTAATCATATAAAAGTGCATAAAAAGTATAGTAAAGAATAGTGTATTAAAATAGAAGAGAAAAAATAGAAAAAAAAACAACAACATTATAAAAATAAATAATAATTAAATTTAAATATGACAATGTTTTGCAAGACATCCTTGTGGTTTATCACGCTGGTATGCTGCCTTGCGCGGTTGGCAAGTGGCTACGAAATGAATAGTAAGTTGCACGGATGATATTTTTACTAAAATCTCGGATATATAACTATAAATTCTTAAAATTATTTGCTTCTTCTTTTTCGTAAAAACTTTTTTTTTTTTCAAAGTATTTTTAAAGTGCAAATAATGCTTGCAGGACTCTTTAAAACACTTATTTAAATCATTGACAAAAAAAGTATATGTATGTGTGTGTTTATGTGTGAGAAATGTATTCCGAAGCCGTAATATTAAAGCAGGTAATATTCAAAGCGTTTGTGTGACCTTGAGCATCCAAGAAGGCAGTGTTTACAGTAATCAAAGAACCCAAGCGTGTATCTTCATAAGTACAGCTATAACTACCACACATACAAGTGCAACTACATATATAGCAAGTTTCTTGCTTAAGTCTTTTGTATTTCAGTTAAACGCACTAGAACACCAGTTTACAGTATTTTTGAGACGGTGATGTTAGAGTCTGCTTCTTGCTAATCATGAGTTGCTAAAACCGAAAGTGATGATAAAAATTACCTAAATGTAGATTTTTTTGTGATGCTTTAGCGATTATACTATTTAAAAAAATGACCAAAATAGCTGTGATTGAATATCTTTTAACTCCAATTCGTAATCAGGACACGTCAAATACCCCACAGACTTCCTAGAACATCAGTAGCAAATTTCCCTTACAGATTTGTTGAGTAGTGTCAGTGTCGATTCTTTTATACTACACATACATATACTATATGTGTACATATGCGTTTCCCATGTCGATTTACATTTATAAGGCTATAAAATTTCCACTCGAATTCTTCCCACCAATTACAAAATATAAGTAGTTTCTAGAATTTCGTAGGATGTCTGCTAAATACAAAAATACATATAGCTATATTCTATATACACACATATGTATGCACTTATATCACTTAACAACTCCTTGCAGAAGAAATCGAATGTCGAACTTGAACTCGTTTACCCTTCTCTTTAATGTGGCAAATTAAATTCAATCAAAAAGCAGAAAATGCAAAAATGGAAAGTGATCGAAACGATGGCATTGGAAACTTGTATCATTAAACCGGTAAATGTAACGGACATTTATTGTGAGTCAGTGACAACAAGGAAGAATGCTGTTGAATATAAGGATCGCAAAATATGCAATAAAAAAAAAATGAAAAAAAAATTAATAAAAAAAATGAAAAAAAAAATTAATAAAAAAAATGTTTAATAATTAAATAACAAAATAAAAATAAGACAAGGAAATAGTAAACAAATATATGTATATAAAATATTTGTTAATTTCACCTTCACCTTTATTCAAAGTCATTGCCGAACTTATTTACTGAAAGTTCATATAGTGTCTTGTATGTGCAAGATTATGCTCAGCAGTAACTGGGGTCTAAAATCGAATATTGTCATTGCGGTGTATACGACCGCAAGTAGACTAATCCTTCATTGGAGTACAGGTTTGGTGGCCAGCGTTAAAGAAACATTATAACTGCAGAAAATTATATGGGATTCAGAGGGCAGCCTGAGCCTGTGTATGTGCCCGTGGGTTTTTCGGAGTGTTTAGGTCATGTCCTTATCTAAATAAAACCGGCCATTTCCTTTCAAGGTTTGGCTACAATAGTGACTTCCAGGCGAGAATGACCTCTAGACGTGAATGGAGGAGATATTATGTAAGGGAGAAGAATACTATCTGAATCTATAAAGACGGATCGGAAATGGACTGCGATGTATGGACGCTGCTATACTTCGAGAATCTTGATATCTCTCTATTATTCCATCTAACGAACTCAGCTAAGATCTTCCTAGCGAAAGTATTAGGCGTAGAGAGCGTCTGTGGAGTTCTTCCGAAGATTTACGGGAGGATACAGAAACCGACTATTTACACAGAAAATTACACGGCACTACTAGTCTTGTCGTCGCCAAGGATCAACTCCAGCTTAGTAAATAAAGCGAGGAAGACTTTGAATTCACTGTCATTCAAGGCAAATACAGCCAAGTTGTCTAAGTCGGGAGCCTCTGCAGACGATTCCGTGGCAGAGACAGTACCGTTTTCTCGAAGGGAGTAAGGAAACGATTCCACACATTCTTTGTAACATAAATTAGAAATCGAATTTTACATCTTCTATACCAGACAGCTTTAGTGTTGAACGCTATAATCTCTAAATCTCGCATGCCGGCATGAAAAGCTCTAAGGCATGCGCCAACTGCAAAAAAATATTACCACAAATAAGTTTTGGCGAAAATTATTCTAAAGACGTTTTGTTATGATTGTTAGATGAAACCTAAAAAGCTCAAAAACTGTCACATCAATTCAAAAACAAAAGACGCAAACATGTCAAGTTCGTTGTAAAATGATTAAAGAGGTTGTTGATCTTAAAGATGACTGTTGCGATCACCATGGAAAAACAATGGCTTTCCGAATGAATTGTGTAATGTCAATGAAAAAGTATGCAAAATACATGTTAATATTTACGAACAAAAAATGCTCAACTAGAGCCGATTTAACAGATAGTCACATCGCCATGTCATTGTAATACATTTTCGAGCATAGCAATATTATTTTTGTAAAATTTTATAAAAACCGTCACATTTTTTAGGAATTTAATTAATTTTTGAAATAACAGTTTTAAATAGCCCACATTTTTTTTACTATTTAAAATGGTTACGTGACCCAACAGACCACACATTTTAGTTAAATTCAAATTGGAGTTTTTTAGTGCTATAAAATCTTAACACATTTCGCTAATCACCAAAGATTTTCGATAATCAATTATTTACATTTTCCTTACAAAAATAAGTTAAAAAAGTTTTTATATTAGAAAAAAAGAAGAAGCGCATTTGTTTCAGAGATTTCAAGACTCACTAATGTTAAAAATACGTCTTAAGAGCCAATTTTAATTATTTGTTTATGTTAATGCAAATTTCTAATATTATTTATTCAATATGTTTATTGTGCACAGGACATTGAAATTATGACTATAATAAATTAATGAACTATTTATCTTCCCACGCTAACTTGCAGTGACCGAGTACTTTAAAATGCCGAATTTGTATGACTTTGACGATTACGATCGTTGTTTAGAAGAGTATAAAAGCGAGCAAACATATTGCTTTGTGCGTGCCGAGGTTCTGCCGCAAGCCGACTCGGAGGCGTGGCGAGCGATCACCGACATATCGAAATACCACAAACATCACTTCGATCACAGGCACTTGTATTTTGGTCTATGTCTGCGCTGGTGCGAGGAGGATTTGGCAGATGTCAAAGTAGATGTGGTCAAAGAACTTTACGCTGGTCTACTCACCAACAACAGCAAGGTAAGGGTAACTAAGCGCGTGATTGAACTTTTGGAAATTTCATTTATTTGTGGTTTTTGTATCTTTTTTTTTACCTACCACATTTGCATACGTAAGGTCATTAGCATATCTTTATTGTTACTCACGGGTGGCTTGAGAAAAAGTCGCAAAAACTGTCTGGCGCGTGCTTGGCTGCTGTGCGCAGAGCATTTTTTGTTTTTGCTAACTTACACTCTGTGCTTTCCAAGCATGCTCGTTTTTTGTTAGTAAAACTGTAAGCGGCTAAGATGAACTAAATAAATAAATTGGTTTCGAGAATGAGATTGTTGGGCTTCACAGAACATTAACGCACAAATATTTGAATATTAAAATATTCTTTTATGTGTTAGCTGTGTATGCTCGCTGTAACAGTAGTAGGTCAGTAGGGTAATCTGGCCTGTTTTTTCACATTTTTTTTTCATAGAAATTTTTATTCTACAATAGAACTTTTTCACATATCATGAGGTATATCGTGGAGTGTATGAACAAATTTTTTCGGAAGTTTTTGATGACATCTGTCGGAGAAATGGCTGGGTGAATGACATGCGTTTTTCACTGGCGGACACGATTTCTCATGTCTGGATAATCTGAAACACAAAAACCCACTAAATTCTCAAAAAGTATGTGAATGGTTTTCGTCCCTACTAGAATCATGAAAAAATAGTGAAAAAATTTTATAATATTTAGCCTTTTCGAAACCTTCCAATAGTAAAGTGGGTTTCTACCTTAATTCCAAGGGTATAAGAGAACAGAAAACACAAAAAAAAAAAATTAAAAAAGATTACCCTACTGACCCCTTAAGATGAAAGCTTATGGTCACATAGTAAAAAGGGCAGATTATGGAGAAACCAGTTCATATGTAGATTTCTTGCAGATTCATGGGATTCACGTTTAGTTTTGTGTTATTTTTGTTGCTGTTTTACTTTCAAAGCAAATTTTAAGTTTAGAAATATAATTCGTGCATATAATTGCAGCTCAATACATATGTTAATTTGTTCAGCGCCGAGGCGACGAATCGCCAGCGATATAATACCTTACTGAACCAATGCATTAATTTGAAATTACAACAAACACATGGACTAAAGGCGCTGAGCATGATTGAATATTGCGAAACCAATTATAAAACTGTCGAAATGGGTGAGTAATGCATTACTACTATTATTAATGTCACAAGTAAACAAGCTATTATGTAACAAATCGTTGAAATGTAAACAAATATTAAGGGATATTTCGAGTGCGATCACGTAGTGGCCGCAAGGCATTTGCTACAGTATTCTGACATTTCCGTATAAGTTTTGTTTATAGCAAAATTGCTGCGACTGTTGCATTACCTCTTGCAATAATAATTGAGATTTATGCATAAAAACAACAATTCGAAATTCGCCTGAAAACAGTTATAATCGTTATTTTACTTATATGTGCGCAGATGCGTGGAATCTCACCTTTTACACAACCACTTTGGTGTTGATTTTTTTGGTAGCCGCCAGCAGTTTATTCGACTTATACTGCAAGTACACGCCCGGAGACAAGGAAATATCCAAAAAGGATCACTACAAAAGCGCGATAACGGGACGAGGTAAGTGTGCTTTCTCGCTCTACTTAACAGGCATGAAGATTTTACTTAATTTAACCGTAATAGTGAAGCGTTTGTGTGTGAGTTTCTCCATTGTGCGCAATTGGTATAGGCTGAATCAGGAGCCTGTCGGCAAATTGGGACGCGATCTACGTTTTCTCGATTGCTTCAAATTTTTCTGCATGTTCTTGGTGGTTTTCGCACACACCAATTGGATACTGTACGAAGGCGCCATGAGTAATCCACAGGACAATGAGCGTTTGCTGCACACAGTTGCTGGCACACTGCTGATATCGGGCGGTTTAATTACGATCACTTTCTTTGTGTTTAGCGGCTTATTGCTCACCATCAATTGGATAGAGTTGACAAAAATTAAGAATGACTTGAGCAATAGAGAGTATGTGGAGGTGTTTATGAAGTTCAACATTTTTCGCTATTTGCGGTAAGTTAGCAAGGCGTGAAGTGTGCTTGAATTGACTGTGTACACTTCATAATTGCAGTTTGACTGCACCATATGCTTTTGTCATCTTATTGAGCGGCGTGTACTTTGAAAATCCTGGTGGGCCACTTTGGCGACACATTGTGGAGCGCGAGCAGCTCACTTGTCGCAAAAATTGGTGGGTTAATCTGCTCTACATCAATAACTACTATCGCAATAATGAGAAGGTGAGTAAAATAGCGCGAACTTAGACCATGTTCGCAAGAGGACTCTTTTGTCGCCTAAACCGGCTACTTTAAACCGTGACCCACTTTGTGTTCTTGTGCCTAAAAGTTCACTGCTACCCATTTCTTTTCATTTTGGAATTGTTTTCAAGGTTGCAATAACGCTCGATTTCAAATAAATATTTGCATTATGTTCCAAAACTTTAATTTTATTTTCATTTTTTTTTTCATAACGTGGAAATATGTATACAAATATTCATAATATATGAGATATGTCTTTGAAAGCGTTGAATAAGAGTAAAAATTTCCAAATAAAAAAATTTTTGTGCACCTCGTACATTAAATTCACAAGAATTTGGGAATGTGATATGAAAGAAAATGCAGAAAATTGTCCGACTCAAGTTTTTTGACTCGTATCGCTCGTGTGAAAGCGACACCAAAAGCAATTTTGCCGATAATGAGCTACAAAAGAGTCCCTCGCTGAACGCAGTCTTATTAAGAGCGATTATGGGCACGAATAATAGACAATTTATATAAATTAAACACAGTCTGATTGGTCTACGTAACAATTAGAACTCGCCCTACTTAGTTCGCACTAATCAGTCTCTCTCTTCCCTTCCCTACAGTGTATGCTCCAGAGTTGGTATCTGGCTTCCGATACTTTCTCATTTATGATATCATTGCTCTTACTGATTTTGGCGCACAAGTAAGTGCCACAAATCACTTAATAGACAAGAACTTATGCAAGTAATTTTTAACATCCACAGATGGCCGCACATGCGCAACTGGCTGTTTGGTTATGTTGGCGGATTTTTCTATGTGCTGCCCGGCTTTATAGCATACTTCGGCGACTACGATCCCTTCTTTGTGCCATCGCCACAGTTAGTTGATAAATGTTATGCATTATTCCATTAATTACTGTATATATTTGCCTCCCTTAAAACAGAACGCAAAAGGACTCGTTTATAGACGATCGCGAATTCAGCGATTTCTATGCGCCGTTTCACATGAATTTCGCTTGCTATTTTTGCGGCGTGCTTGCCGCCATCGCATACAGGGAAATTTCGGAAAAACAATTTAAATTGCATAAAAACAAATTGTTCCAATGCCTTTGGTACGCCCTCATACCGATTGGTGTGCTGTGGCTTCTATCGGCGCATCCCATTTATCAGCACTACTACGAGGAACAACCACGATTTTGGAATAGCATTTATGCTGCCATACAACGCAACAACTGGGGGCTGGGTCTGGGCGTATTTGTTGTGGGCATGGCTTGCAAAGTTGGCGGTAAAGTCTATAGCTTTGGTGAAGTCGAAAAGTAAAGTAGAATTCATGAATTTCAATTGCAGGCTTATTCCGCAAGTTTTCTTGCCTGCCCATCTTCCGCATTTTGGGACGTCTTACATACGGCGCCTTCGTGATACATATATTCGTGTCACGCGTTGTGTTGGGCACTTTGAGAACGCCGCTCTACTTTGGCACTGGCGTTATGGTAAGTGAATGCAATGTTTTAAAATATTTTTATTTTAATAATTTCAACTTTTTATTTTCAGTTCTACTTTATACTCGCCACTATGGTGGTTTCTTATCTACTATCTCTAGTATTGGCTGTTTTGGTTGAATTGCCCACTTCTGCACTGCTGAAGCTAATGCGTTGATTTTAAAAATTAATTGCGCTTGCCACAGTTGCCCAACTAATGGAAATGCATGCCAATAATTGTGTTACGAAAGACTTATCTCATAAAATCAATCTACCTATCACTTGTATTACTTAGTTTGACTAAGGAGATTTTTTATTTATAAATATATACATATATTTTTCATATTTGAAACCCTTTTGTTTAGTGCAAAGCGTTGAATAACTCAGTAGTATTACATAATATCGAAAAACCGAAACTTTTTCATTACTGGTTTAAAAGAACTATTCTCGATTAGACTGTTGTAAAATGGCTATAGCTAGAACACGCTCTATTATAGTGAAATTATAGTGAAAACAGCTTTAAATTAAAAAAAAAGAGTTCTTCGAATAGCAAAGCATTGGTAGATAACAGTCGAGCGAATCCGAATCAAATTTAATTTTTAATCGGCTAAAGATAATTAACTGATTTTTATCAGGCCACGGACTGTCAACTCGGCAGAATTATGTCGCTACAAATCTGCAGTAGTCCTTAAAATTACTTACAGATACTGTTATACGCTGCTGTTACAGCAACAAAAGCAAATTCATATATGTAGAACTTGTTAACCGAACCTAACCTCAAATTCTGATTTCACATCAGTGGTGTAGATAAATTATTACAATCTTAATTACCTTGTTGATACACTGTAACTTTGCTCTTCGTCTACTTTGTCACGCAAGCTCATATAAAAGGTTTTAAGCGCTACGGCAGCTTCAGCATTCAATAAAGGACGCAATTGTTGGCGTGCGTATGCTGTAAGGCCATCAAATATTTACAAATTAACATATGAAACAAAAATGATTTTTTGCTAACTTACCTATGAATTTCTTCAGTAATATAGGCGGCAGCAAATCTAGTTCCTCCTCTTTGAAATCATCATATTTTAGCTTTAGACGAGCACTTAAGTCATATTGCTCATCATCCAATTCCTCATCACCCAGCGATAAGTTCATGGAATTATTCGTTTTGGGGTTTCTATCGAAGCGTTGTGCGATCGCAGCATTTTTCTTTATACCATCGTGCATTGCTCTTATGTGATCTGTTAATGAGGTATCCAAGTCTTTGTTCGACTTATCCAGTAGCAGAAATACTAAGTGAAATTGCTGTAGTAATGTAGTGCTCAAACGTGTGTTTTCGGTGAGTAGCCGCGAGTGATCGTAGTGGCCACGAAGTGTATTTGCGGCAGCAATAACAGATGTCGGTATAGCTATAGTTGCATATAGATTGGGGAATGGTAGTGACACCATTTTCGACTGCATTATTTGCACTAAAATATCTTGTTGGGAAGCTAAGCGATCAATATCATCGATGGCGCAATGGCCCGTTTTGGAAATGGTGAGTGCACCCGAACTGAGAATGTGATTTGTACGACCTTGAAGTGCGGTAGTTAGAGACTGTGTCGCGGGAGACCAATGTTTACCGCTGAGAAAAGTGCCTAAGAAGAAAGAAATGTGCAATATGAAAAATATGTAAGGGAAGTTTTAGAAATATTGGTACCTTTTTCTGAAATTTTTGCAGACATCTCGAGCAAATGAGATTTGCCAATGCCAGGATCACCAACTAATAAGACGTTAATCTCCGACTCGTCATGTATTTGTGAACCAGCGCCACCAAAAAGTGATAACAAAATACCTGCTTTTACTATCTCTTGTCCATGTAACTCAGGCGCAACTGAATGTGATAGAAGCTTAAAACTATCTGGTTCAGAATTTATCATGGCAATTGCATCCATATCTCGTTGAGTGAATGTGTGTCCAAAATGTTTTGCTTTCTTAATGGAAACTGCTTTCATGTAGAGTTTACTTGTGGTTACAGAGGAACATGGATTTGCATTCTGCTCGTCGTCCAATGTACGTATTTTAATTATGCCACAAATAATGGCCTCCTCACCCGCTACGAGCGTATCAACCAAGTCGTATTTTAACTCGACATCAAGCATGTTTGATGAATCGTATTCTCTATCAATAGGCGCTTGTATATTGGTCTCCTGAAGTTGTATAATTTGTTGCGGGGTGATTCGTGTGTAAGGTGAGGAACGCTGTTCTATAAAATTCTTTTTCGCGAGACAGCCTTCTCTTTTGCAGCAATGCGGTCGTGATATGTAAAATCCTATTGTAATTCAAAAATGTTAATCATTATTAAAGTTTTAGAATGTATGCAGTTTTTTTACCGGTTTGTCTCATTGCTTGCTCCTGTCCACAGCGCGGACATTTATATGCTATCCATGTGGCCGCTGCTTCTACTATGCCTATGGCAAACACAGCACCACGCACACTGCATAAGCTCCCTATCATCGTTCTGTTCAAGTGTGAAATTAAATCAATTTCGGCAAAACCATTCGGTCGTACGTATATTTTTCGTGGTAAAGTACAACGAGGCACATAAGCGGTACTGCTACTGACCAGCTCACTGGTTGCACTATTTACGGCAGACATTGTTATTACTTTGTGCATGGCGACGGCAAATGTTGCTAGAGTACGTGACGTACGCTCCAGCATATCTTCTTTTAATTTCGGCCAAACAGTTGTAAGCGTTTTGTCGCCACAAACATGTATTGCCTCCAAATTAAAGTACTTTTCGTGTTGTATCTTTTTAAATATATAAGTCTCTTGATTTTTTATAAAATACTCTTCAACCGCTTTAATACGATCTGCCAACTCTGATGTTTCATTATAGGGTTCTTGCGGAAAATATAAATGCCAACCGGGACAATTTGGTGGCATATCAGCACGAAAACTTTGAACTGTGTGTTGGATATCATCAGGTGCAGCATAGCATTCTGGCCGCAGAAAAGACGAATCTAATACTACATTCGGTGGGTGGGTATAATAGTTATTTTGGGTTGCTCCGCGTCTTTGCCCACGGCAGCCTGAGTAATTTGCACGACCCGGTGCATTGGTGCTTCCGCGTCCACCAGCCGGTATCGTACGCCCGTTGCGACGAAAATAAAAATACGGACGATAAGCACCTCCACCTCGTCCACGACCACGTATAAAGCGTCCAGTAGGTCGCGTGGACGACGGATTCATTTCTTACACTTTATTACGATGTTTAACTTTACAACACAACAATTTAAATTGAATCTAATCCCGCCTATACGAATCTTAATAATTTAAAGTACAATATTACCATATCGTGGAAATCACAAAAATGTGAACAGCTGTTTGATAATTTATGCCCGCGCCTGTTAGTAGGCAACATTTTGGTCACAAACGCGTTGCCAATCACCTATATCACATTAAGAAATTGGCATACATATTTATATTTTAAACATAACTCACATACATACATAGATTCATATGAATGTAGTTAAGAAAACAAAAAATATTTATAATTTTTTATATGTGTAAGTAAGGTATTTAACCTTTTGAAATTAATTATTTTTTGTTATGTTCTTTGAAATAGAAAGTAAGCAAAGTAGTGACAGTTACCAGAGAACGTATAATAACTTTAAAGTCGTAGATAGTTTCGTATATTTGGGAACCAGTGTAAACACCACCAACAATGTCCGCTTGGAAATCGAACGCAGGATAACTCTTGCCAACAGGTGCTACTTCGGACTGGGTAGGCAATTGAGAAGCAAAGTCCTCTCTCGACGAACAAAAACCAAACCAAACTCTGCTACCAAAAACTGCTATATGGTGCAGAGGCTTGGACGATGTCAACATGTCAGATGTACGACGGCATTGACATAGTTAAGCGAATGTCTACGCCAGTAACAAAGTGTATATATGTATGCATGTATGTCTAATAATATTCATACTCTACCAACAGAACCGGAGAATAATTTGGGACAGGATATGAGTGGGCGTAACCAAATTTCAGAGTTAGACTGCTGAATAACTAGAACGGAAATAAATATTGTTAGATATACAAACATAGTACACATGTATGTAAGCATAAGGCGGCAGCTGAGTGAATCGATGATTTGACTCCCGGTCAGAGTTTTTCAAGTTCCAAAATTATCCTTTTAATTTCATAGGCACATTTATGGATATAGCTCTTAAAAGTTCAGATTTGTCAGATAGGTGGTTAAAAATTTCAATAATTAGCTTTGATCAAGCGTTGGGTTATGATATTTATTTCTTCTTTTCACAATTTGACACCAATTCGAGGTACCAAGTGCAGCCAGGACCTTCTCTACCTGATATTTCCAACAGAGGGGAGGTCTTCCTCTTCCTATGTTTCCACCGGCGGGTACTGAATCGAAATCTTCAGAGCTGGAGTGTTCTTTTGCATCTGGACAACATGACCTAGCCAAGGCTGTCTCTTGTTTCAGTAAACTATGTGAATGCTGCCGTATATCTCATACAGTACTCGCCGTTGGCAATGTGCAAAGGACCATATGTGCAAGGACCGCAAAACCTGTCTCTCGACTACTCCTAAGGTCGACGATTTTCTTCGTCGAGAGAGGACTTTATTTTTCAATTGCCTACTCAGTCCAAAGTGGCATCTGTTGGCAAAAGTGATTCTGCCTTGGTTTTCAATCAGTATTATCAGCGTACGCCAGCAGCTGCACAATCTTAGAGAAGTTTGTACCTTTTCTATTTAGCATAGCAGGAGTTTCTTTTTGCGCAGGACGAAGGCGACTTTAAACGGGTATTTTCCAAGATTTGGGGCATATTGAAAATCAGTTTGTTGACGGAGGCCTTTAATCCTTCACACAATATACTCGATAAGACCTTATAGACGATAAGACCTTAAGCCTCCTGGGCTTAGTACACGGCTCAGATTGTGAGGCAACTTTTTGGGGTTAGGTAGAGCACACTTTGGTTCCAATCTTGCAAAGAAGCTGATGCTTACAATATATATGTATAAATGTATAGGTGTACATATGTATATACAGACACTCATATGTATACATACTTATGCGCAGTCACGTAATAATTATGTTTATTAATCAGCGCAATCAATAATTGAATACTTGAAGTTTTCTGTTACGAGGGTTGCAGCTTACACTTCTGTCTTAACAAAAAATTGGAAAATTTGTAGTGCTTTAAAATTAAATTGTATTAACTTTTAATAATGATTAATTTTGTATTAATTTTACCAATTATGAAAATTCTTCGTTTACCTTGATTAAGACAATTTTGCAATATATGATACATTCTATTTTTGAAAGCACAAATTTTACTTTTCTAGTTTG